GTGTGTGTGGGTGTGTGTGTGTGTGGGTGTGTGTGTGTGTGTGTGTGTGTGTGTGTGTGTGTGTGTGCACGCGCACGAGCGTATGTAAGTGTGTATCTCGGGGGAACTCGTTTTTGGACGGTCAAAAGGCGTTTATTTGCAGGGATGGAAAATGCTAAAATTAGCCTGATGTTGCTGGACAATACGCATCCCCGTCAGCAGAGCTAAAAGTGGCTTGTGTGTGTGCGCGTGTGGATTCCGCTCCAGGTGTTAGCGCGCAGTGCAAATGTGTTTGTAGGCTAATATGCTAACGTCCAGGTCATAGGTGTCAAGAGTGATGCGTTTCGGGTGCCATGTTTTGCAGATGGACTTGTGGTGCTCTCTGCTATTCATCTGTTTGCTGTCCATCAATGTGCCTGACTGCAACGCCCGCGAGCTGACGGTATGACAACTGCTCAGAACATGTACACACACTAAAAAGAGAATTAAAGGGCGGGCAGGGTTGCAAGAAACCACCATGCCCGAAGAAAAACAAACTACCAGAGACAGAAGAGGTGACGGACGATGTGTGAATTATTTGCAGTGCATTCGCGAGCTCACTCATAGCCGATCACCAGCACCTGTTAGCTTGGGCTTCGGAAGCTTTGCTCAGACTATGGCGGAATATCCACCTCTGGTAAAGACGAAAAAAATGCCGTCTGTTATTCGCCAACAACTGGTCATAAGACGAACAAACAAAACCAGAGAAGGAAGCTGAACCATCTGACAGTATTCAGAAGCGATGCGGAATTGGCAACATTTCTGCTCGACGGGTACATTTTGATTTTTTATTAATTGCATATTACAAAAAGGAGGGGGAAAAAATTAAATTGATAACATTTAGTATTATGGTAACTCTCTTACAAATAAGTCACGCTGTCAAAAAAGGCGCGGAAGTTGCTGCCATTTTAAAATCATTATTTCAGTGCAAAGAAATTTTCCTGGGTGACTAACCATTCCTTTGACTATCTCAGTTTTTTTTTAGCAGAAGGTGATCCAAAGGTTTTTTTGTTGTAAAAATTTGACAAATTTATGGGGGAGGTTGATGAAATGCTGTCAGTAATCTGTACTGACTACAACATTTTGGTCATAACAGGAAACAAAGATGACCAAAGAACCTTCTTCAATGTTTGATACTTTTGGTGTCTTACAAACATGTGAAAAGTTCAAAAAACACTCAAGGTCATGTTGCTGACCTGTGAAAAGTTCAAAAAACACTCAAGGTCATGTTCCTGACCTGGTTTTCTTGAAAGACGCTGGCATTTCATCTGTTGGCCGAAGGGATTTGGCTGTCATAGACCATTTTGGTGTGTTCTTGGAACAACAAACAATCCCAAAAGTCAATCAAACCAAAAATGTATTACAAAAAAAAACCCACAAAAAAAGCTAAAAGTTTTTTTTCCAAGAAAAAGCATAAATGTAAAAAAAAAATGTAAATAATAGTCATCATATTTTTCAGTGATGAAAAGTATAATCATAGACTTACGAGAAGTCATCTTTTAAGAAAAAGATGAATTTTTGTCGTAAAAGAGTTCCAATCGTCTGAGAATAAAGCATTTATTGTGGGGAAATGTGCATTATTAGGCCAGTAAAGATTTTGTTTTAACTACATTTTTACATTATATTGAAATCATGAATTTGTGTGTCACTTGAAATTGTCAACACTTGAGATTGAGTGCAATAAAGTGTTGCATATTGGATATTTCTTTCTTTCGTACCTTGTTAAAAATGATTGTTGTAAATAATACACATAGTCTGTGTTTCACACAATAACATAATATTAAAAATTAATGGTGATTTTAGCAAATGTGTTGTTATTGCATTTTTTTAAAAATTCTCCCAGTGTTGAAGTCGTTCTAGCCATAAGGGAAGAAGGAACTCTACGTAATTTTGTCCATGTGGTACACCTCAAACTAGCCTGATTCACACCCGACTTGTGTTGGCATTTGCAGCATGTTGACGCCGACGCGTCGACAATTTCTAGGCCCGCCGCATTAGCTCACCCAGGCGCGACCAAAATGCTCCGGCCAGATCACCGAGCGAAGGCGGAGAACGACGTGACAGAGACCAAGAGGAAGGCGAATCTCACCGGGAATGCGTCGCTGCTGGATCGGCTGTCCGCCGGTGCCATTAACACCAAACATGCAGGAAACAGGAACAGGTCAGAATACACTGAAAAGATATACAGTATATAAACCTGTATGTGTGTGTATATATATATATATATATAGCCACCTCACGGTGCAGAGGCCATGGGTTCAATTCCAGCCCTGACCTTGTGTGGAGTTTGCATGTTCTCCCCGTGCCTGCATGGGTTTTCTCCGGGTTCTCCAATTTCCTCATGCATGGTAGTTGGATAGAACACTTAAAATGGTACCAAGGTGTGATTTTGAGAGTGAATGGTTGTTTGTGTGGCCTGTGGTTGGGTGGCAACCAGTTCAGGATGTACCCTGCCTAATGCCCGAAGACGGCTGGGATAATGGATAGATGGGATGTTTTTTTGGGTGGCAAATAGTGGATTGAGAATAGGGCTGTCCTGATCAGGGTTTTAAGATGCCCATACCGATACCAATAGTGATCACATGGATTTGGTTGAAAAATAGTGTCGTGAAGTGTAGTTGACGTTTGTGTGACTTTCAGAGTGACTGATTTGCCACGGCGACGTCTCAGCCTTCCTCCCATGGACAGGATAGGAATGAGACACCTCCCAAACAGAAGAGGCTAAGATGCCGCATATCTGGACAAGGTACTGCACGTATGATCCGCCCCTCGTCACAGGCTGCAGTCACTCAGTAACTGGAATGCTCCACACATCAATCGATGCACCTGGAAGGCAAGCAGTGAAACAACTTTTTTGTCTCCTTTAAATACAAAATAAATGTTTTGAAATGTGTTTCTGTTTCTCAAAACGCCACTTTTTGTTATGTTTTTAATAAACAAAGAGTACTGTATTGGAAGAAAACATTAAAGAATGTAAAAGAAAACGGGTTTTGCTCAGTGTAATTACTGTAGGCATTGCGGCATGTGTGTTGGATGTCTCTTAAATGGGCGTGGCCTAGTGAATGACACCAGGGAGTAGCACGGTTGATTGTACAAATTTTGTATTTGACTGTTTGTAGGGTTAATACTTTTGCGGATTTTATTAATGTGTATGACTACATTATTTAGACGGAAACAATGCTAAAAACTAACATTGGTGACGCCTTTCCCAATGGCCGCTACTTTTTTACGTCACAAAGTACCCGGTTGTTCCACTCGATTGGTTGTTTAAAGGAAATAGCTCAGATGTGATATTTAATCGCTTATGACGCAGCCGTCTAAACCTGAACGGATATACTGTATTCACATATTACACAAATTTACTAAATGTCTAACTTAAGGTGGCCGAATATTTTCTTTAGCAGACATTCCGAGCAAGTTGTCAGCACCAGCTATCGAATCGCCCCTAATTTACCGTTGTGAAAACGTCATGATGATCGGTGTTTAGACTTTTGTGCCTTGCATTCCCTCTTCGAATCCACTTAGAACGTGCTCCCCGTGCCGATTCACGTTGGTTCTCCTGAAATGTTTCACTCGAAGGCGGTGGGAATGATTATGCAGGTTTCTCACAATGTCGTCGCCATTTCCGCCATTACACGCATCACAACCGTCGCTGTTCTCCCGCCATAACCGCAGTTAGTTTGGTTGTGATGACGTCACGCAAACAATCTACATTTCTTTTTCCATGTTATGGTGAGTGAAAAATACACGAGATAAAAATCTTAATGGGGTTTTCATCTTGCGTCTATTCAGCATAGATTTTTAAATGAATGTTTATCACTGTTAATTCCACACAGAAGGGACTTCACAGACAATGGAAAATGTTGAGCATCACACACAAACACGATGGTCCAAAGCACATCTCCCACGTAAACAACCTATTCATCTTAAGTCTCCCATCTTTCAAGACATGAACAGATCATATTATCACGACAACGATGCCAATTAAGTATGAGTGAGAACACAAGGACAGTAGATTTTCTTTTATTTTTTTATTTAGAAAATTATCCTGGACCCACAGCAGGACAGTGCACATAAAGGCTCTACAAACTGACCCTGGACAAGCTGAGACATCAGCATTAGTTGAGGAGGCCTGGTTGGAGCAGCAGCAGAGAGTGACAACACTGATGATTTCCGTTTAATTTGTGCATCTCACTTTTGACCATGATTTGACACTCATCTGTTAGAATAGAAGACATCTTTTAACTTGTGTTGGCGACAACTGAGACTGTGCGACCAAGCAGATGGTCCTCACGGATGAGAATTAAAAACGGCAACAGAGTAAGAACTCTCTTTTGTGTAGAGCTGCACCCAACATAAGAAAAATAATAATAATAAAGTGAGAAAAGAAAATAATTCCTACACAGCAATGATGTAAAACACCGGTTCTGGAGGGCCACCGTCCTGCATGTTTTCCATCTCTCCCTGTTGTGATACACCTGATTCAAATGAACAGTATCGATATCAGGCTTCTACAGAGCTTGCTGATGATCTGATCATTTGAATCAGGTGTGTTGGAGAAAGGAGGGATCTAAAACAGGCAGGAGATGCCCCTCGAGGACCAGAGTTTGACACCTCTGCCACAGAGGTTAAAAATCAGAGTGGCATGCGATTTCCCTCCACGCTGATTTTCACGGCGTGTCCCGGCTTAGTGAGGCGGCGGATGTCTGCAAAACGACGCATCTGCTTGTCCACCCGGGACATCCCCTTCTTGACGGGACCCTGGGGAAAAACACGGCAAGTCAGTGATGTTAACTCTTTTACTTGCAATTTGTCAGTGATGGCCTTATAGTTAGCAAATCTCGACTGAAGAGTAAAAGACTAAAATTGCAAAAAGTTGCAAAAACATGGTCACTCACCCTGCTGGACTCCATCTCCACATTCCATTTGGGCCGGACAACGTAGTCTTTATTTGAGGGCATCGGGACTCGAGCCCTGGCGCAGAAGCCTGGGTCGCCTGGTCGGAGCGCTCTGTGGACATGAGCACAAACGTTTTGTAAAGACTTCATCATTTCAATGTCTTATTTGTCATTCGTTCTTGCTGAATATATTCCACATTACTTTCATCATCATTATGAAAACCTGATGTGCTAAACAAAAAAGGAGGGCAGATTGAGAATCAGCTCAAAAAAAAAAAAAAAAAAATCTAGAAAAGTTACCTCTCTAATTAAAAAAATAAATAAATAAAATAAAAAAAGTGTCATCACTTCACATTCAAACAAGACCGGCCCAGATCACACTCAAACAACACTTGTAGCAGAATCTTCTCCGCTAAACTTACTTCTCCTCTCCCGTCAGCTGTTTCTCCAGGTCTCGACGGGGAGTCAGTCCTCCAGAACTGCGAAGACAAAGAAGGAAGAAGACGAGATCAGCATGGATGTGCACACGACCGGATCTGTTCCAGTCAAATCTCATGCGGTTATTGTCCCAACGCAAATCAGCCGGTGTGACTTCACACACAAGCAAACGGGACCCTCTTGGAACCACCAACAATACTAACAATGTCAAGGTTGTGCTTCAGCCTTTGGAGCACCTCGACTTAACAGCGGAACCTCCATTTTCCTCCAAGGATTGTGTTAAAAATTGTGTTCAAGTGAAACGTGTTTCCCAGTGGATGCAAGAGCCCAAAACTACGACTTCTAAGTCTACTAATGATACTGTATCTATTTTCAAAAATATATGCTTTTATATCTACTTTTCTAGAAATGCAAAGCAATTCTTTCCAATAGTGACACTTCATAACAGTGCAGAAAATAACTTGGAAGTCACAGAAGTAAAAATAGTTTGACCCACTTTCTGCTCTTTGTCCAAGGTCAGATATGTGAACATATTAATGATCCTCAGTGTATTATTATTATTTTTTTTTTTGCTGGGGGTGATGTTTGAATGTCATTATATTTGTGTTATGCCCCCACTTCCTGCTCTTTGTCCAAGGTCAGATACGTGAACATATTAATGATCATCAGTGTATTTTTTTTTTTGTTGTTTTTTGCTGCGGGTGATGTTTGAATGTCATTATATTTGTGTTATGCTGGAATGATTTTGTTTTTGCCTATTTTAAAAGAGGTAAAGACCCACCCTAATAAATATGGTTCTTGTTTATATTTTTGGGTGTCTGGAATGGAATGTCCCGAATGGATTCATTTCCTATGGGACATATTGCTTTAATTTATTATTTGGTCAGAAAAAAGTCAGACTTTTTCGGAAGGGATTAATCACACAAACCAAGGCTCCATTGTAGTTGCTCTAATGTCACTTCATACTTGCGATGGTGGAGACCAGTGTGCTAGGAGAGCAGCAGTTTTAGATTTGTCTATACTAATTTTTATTTGGCTGTGGCGTTTTAAATTCAGTTCGTTTTAATTAATTTTCAGAGCGGGTTTGTTACCCCGAAAATGCTTGATTTTTTGTTTAGATTTGTTATTAGTTTTAGTTTTCTTGACAAATAGTTATTTGTCGAGTGCAAGAGAAAAATAAATAAATCAAATGCTTGGTATTTTGTTTAGATTGTTAATAGTTTTAGTTGTCTTGACAAATAAAGTTATTTGTCGAGTGCAAGAGAAAAATAAATAAATAAATCATCACTAAATATTGTTCAAAAACAAAGTTAAATACAGTAGAATTCTTGGCCTTCCTTTTTCCTGTACGGCTGTTGAGCAATACTAAAATTAATGCAATTAAAATGAACCTTATCACTAAATATTGTTCAAAAACAAAGTAAAATACAGTAGAATTCTTGGCCTTCCTTTTTCTGTACGGCTATCGAGCAATACTAAAATTAATGCAATTAAAATGAACCTCAAAAGCTCATGTGATGATATTTATGAAGTAAGGTGTAGTTTCAGTTAAAGTTTCCATTTTTAAAAAAAGGTTTTCATTTGTAATTTATTTGGTGAATGGAAATATTTTTGTTTGTTCCCTTTCATTAACTGTATACGTGTGTTGGAGAACAAGCAACAACACACCTAATTAATCAGAGATACCAAACGGTTAGTACCGTGCTACCCCTGACCTCAGACTTCAAGACACATCCAACTTGGAGTTCAACAAACATCTTCAATGTCGCTATTTGGGGACCGTAAATTCACATGTAAGCACACCCTGAGCTCCAAATAAAGCGAGGGAATGAGAACAAGCAAGTCGAGTGAGTGGATCACATGTTCTTCACGTGTAACATGCGGGATCATAGCGATGAGAGAACCTGCTAGGTGGAGAGAAGACATCCGGTTCCTCCACCCTCTCCACCTTCTGAAGCTGACTGAGGAGGACGAGGAAGAGGAAGAGTAGGAAAAGAGGACAAGGAGGGAAGAGATGGACAGAGCGAAGAAGAGAGGAGAGCAGACAATGGAAAGTAGGGCTGGGCGAAGTATCCATTTTATCGATTATTTCGGGTTTGTTTGTCAGCAGGAATTACTTCTTTTGAATAGTCCCACCCCACCGTCTCCTTGTAGTTGAAAGCTTGCCGCATTGAAAACATATCCTTTGGATCTACTTCATTTGAACATGTACATCAGTGGCAGATAGTCAATTGGTTGTCACATTTTGCACATTTCCGACCACTGTTTATAAATAGCAACTTTAAGTCCCGCCGAGAGACAGATGTAATGAGTCGAATCATTTTCACATTGTTTTGCATGATGACCAGAAATGAGCTTGGTGGAAGGAAAACATGGAAACAATGGCGCTGAACGTTGCCAAAGTCATGATACGTTGCAGAAGCAGTACCCTATGCACACGTTGGAAACTTTTTGACATGAGCATTGTTTTAAAGCTGTTCCAGGGCATGTCAAACGTGAAAAATAAATATATTATACATGTTCCTATGGATGAAAACATATGGCTCACCCTGTATATTGTGGCCACAGTTTTACACTATGCCTGGGGTTCCAATTTTATGCACATTACTGCTTTGGGGAGTTAAACAGGAGAAG